AAATCAAAGTCAATGTTTTCATAGGAATGCCTAAAACATTAAATATGAAACGCGAATGTTCGTGCATAGGCTACTTTACTTATCTCTATTCGTTTCTTTGCCCACAAATAGAAATTTAACTCAGACTATACTGAATCCTAAATTTTATAAAATATGTCAACAAAACCTCGTCGTAACACCAGGCTAACTAGAAAGACATTTGAAAAGGCCACTCCTGGTCAAAATGGCTACCGCCCGAAATTATATATAGTCTAATTATTTTGATTTTCGGGGAAAATGGATCGCGTCCTCCTTTTCGATCCACTGGACGTATAAAGCGTAGCACTCACATCACTTCTCCATAGTTTATGATATAAAATGCAGTGAGCAACAACTTCCAGCATACACAAACATTACTAATAAATGAACATATCAGAGCTTCGTGGAACACTTATTATGAATACCTATTTCAGACGCGCATTTATTCTGGTCAACAGTTATGCGACGTGAACTTGAAATGTAGCTTTTGCTTAACTATTTCAGATGAGGCCCTTTCAGCTTTCGTGCTTTTTTTCAAGAAAAAAGCATCATGATTAGGCAGTGCCAGAATTACAACAGTATGCTTCTCACTTCATGTCAAAGGTAAAGATATTTTGTCTACTCGGTGTTAGAAAACTAAACACGCTTCTCAACAACAACATTATCCGTTTTCTGCTAAATTGACGAAGTAATAAAATCTTACTTACCAACTACAACAACTAGTAACAAACATGATAACAAGTTAGGACAACAATATCAATAAAAACAGTTCAAGGATGGCATGGCAGTAACTGCAGCAAAACAGGAAAATTATGAAACGGGGCTATCTCTCTCTCTTTTCTTACAAAACAAAAAAGGGGGACATCACGAAATTCAACAGTCGTAACTTACCTCTCCTACCAACACCCAAACCTTCCTATCCTTACTTCCCAACCGGAGGCGTCAAGCGCCACCTCACAGGCGGCCCCGCGGCAGGCCCAGGTGTAGCTGCGGCCTGCCTTTCCACCCCAGCGGCGGATGCACTCCAAGAAAGGGCGGGTCTTCGCCCTGTTGAGACACACCCATCGCGGTTGGTCTCCTCATGACTTCGTTCCGGATGACCCTGGGCAGACGGCCTCCGCCACTCAGGGCGGATCATCGCGGTCCTTCTCCCGGATGGCGCGCAGCAGGTGGTCGCGGAGTTCGGTCTCAGAGCATCGCGAGAGCTGCATGAGCTCGTCGCGCGACAGGCGGCGCAGCGTGGCTGTACCGGCCGCTGTGGAGGTCGCCGCCTGGCGGGCCGCGCGGCCGGCGCCGCCGCTGCCCTTGCTGGAGTGCCGCCTGCTCGCCACCGCCGCCGCGGCGGCCGCGTCCAGCGCCGCCTTGCACTCCTCGTCCTCCTCCGTCTCCTCGAGCAGCGTGTCCGGGTTGTTGATGGCCTCGGGCGTGGTGACGACGCTGGGCACGGTGCCCAGCTCCGCCGAGGTCCCCGCCGCTCCCGCGGCCCCGCTGCCGCCCGCGAGCCCACCCGCCGCCGACGCCCCGTTTCCGCCGTTCCGCCCGTGGAAGAGGCGGCCCGTCGACCGGGACTGGGCCGCGCAGCTCGCGGCGATGGGGTTGAACTTGCCGCCGCCCTGCGGCAGGGAGGAGGGCACGCACTGCATGAGCGCCTGCGGAGGCGAGGGTAGGCAGGCCCGGCGCGCGGCCGCGTCGAGCGCTCGGGCGGCGGCCTACGCTCCGGGCTGACGCCGCGCTCCACACGGGCAGGCGGTCGTAACGTGACGCGTAACGAAAACGGTAATAGTAAATAAAATTGCAGTTTAAAGGCGTTTTTTAAACCGTGTTTACCTATCTTCCAGCAGTACACATGGGAATACTTTTGAAATAATTTGAAAACGCTTCAACAACGAATTAAAATTGGAATTATATTTTCGTTATACGCGTTACGTTACGACGTCCTGACACGGGCCGGGCGGTGCACTTACCGGGTCGAGGTGCGACGCTCTCCTGGTGTTGATGTCCGGCGGAGATGTGCTGCCTTTCGACAGCCGCCGCCCCACAGCGGCGCCGAGCATCCGGGGACTGAGCGCCGCCTCGGAGGAAAAGCGGCGCACGCTGAGCGAGGATCGCGACCCCGACTCCTCGCCCTTGGGTGAGCGCGAGAACAGCTCCCGGGACAGGCGGCGCGCGATGTCCAGGCGGCTGGTGCAGGGGCTCTTGGATCGTCGCCGCTGCCCGTCCGGACGCAGCGACCCCGCCCCGTCCCCCGGGTCGTGGAGGGTGTCGGCGCCGTCCTCGCCGGGCAGCGCCGACACCTCGGCGCGCTCCTCTTGCTGCACCCTGTGCCGTCAGAGGGCGAAGGGAGGCAGGTCAGGCACCGAGTAATAGAGCTGGAGCCAGCGGACCGCGCCAGGGACCTACCTCCGGATCTCCTGGATCATCTCGAAGAACTGCGCCTTGCTCTTCCTTCTCCTGCGCTGCTCGTGTTCCTTCTGGAACAAAGACCACGCGCGAAGGGCGCGGGTGCCACCGTCACGTGACTATCGAGGTCCAACACGTCCGAGTGCCTGTGCCCGGCCCCTCCGCAGGGGGGCCAATAGCAAGCCAGCAGCAAGCATCAGAGCGCATCAGAAGTCAATGGAGCCGAAAGAAATACCGAAGTGTGCAGCGCGACCGTGGCGGGGAGGGTTCGGAGGGGGAGGGGGTGGAGTGGGACGAGGACGAGGGAGGGGACGTGACAGGAGGGGGAGTGAGTGCCATGCGCAACCATCACGCAAGGAAAGCGGTGGCGAGTCTGGATACAAGGAAGTTGTGACCACCCGCGCCTGCGCGCCGAGCTACTACATACCCTCTTCACGCTCTTCTGGAACAGGCTGGTGATCTGCCCCTGGCGCAGAGTGTGCACCAGCTCGCGCGCCGCGTGGTGCGGCGACACCAGCTCCACGCAGTTGATGAACCGGTACAGCTTCTGCGAGCGGGAAGAAAACGGAACAGACCGCGTCAAAGTGTTGTCGATATTAGAGCACGGTAAAAAGTTAACAAATGTCTCATTATGAAGATCCTGACTTGGCTAAAGAACATGATGTTTCGGCTTTTCCAGATTGTGCCCTTGGGCTTGTGCCGCAACAGAGGCAGCGTGTAGCGGTAGAAGAGGTGCTCGACCACCAGAATGAGGATACCGACGGCCATGCCCAGCCCCAGCAGGATGAAGACCCCCGCCACCGCTGCCACGCCCAGGGGCCGCGGCTGCACCATGTCGTTGGCCAGTTTGAAGCAGGGCAACCCACCGTACCTGGAAAAGGACGCGCCGATTGAGCGTTGGACGAGGACACTTCTTTCACGTCATTTCAATAACGGACACCCACCACTTTTCCTGCAGTATGTCCATGTACCCGTTGCTGGTGTACTTTGCGATGACGGCTGATATGCTGTCTTTGAGCGGGAAGCCCTTGGTCATCCCCACGGCGTACGTGTCCTCGTTGATGGCGTCGCCGATCTTCTGCAGTTTGCAGCCGTGGTCCGTGGCGCGGTAGTAGTCCAGGATTGGCGTGTCCGCAATCAGGATGTCAAGAGAGCCGTTCCTGAACGTCGGAAAGCAGTTCATGAAGCGGTTTACATCGAGGAGTCCACCACTCTCCAAGTGGGTATAAAATGAGCTGCGCGAGTGTCCGTGGTTATTCGATAGTGTTGGCGAGTATACGCGGGTTTACGCCGACTGGTGCCCATCTGCCGCCTCCTCGTCCTCACCTCAGCCGGTGCACGCCCTCCTCCACCGTGGCCACGCTAAAGCGCTGCATGTGCTCCCAGAGGTGTGGGTTGGCCCTGTGAACGTAGTAGTCTGCCGCGGAGTGCCGGGGCGCTCCAACCCTCTGGCTCAGAAGCTGCAAGCAGAAACAGACACGAGTATGAAGCGAAGCGCCGCAGGGCTTGGGTTCGAGAGGTCAGGGCCACACTCACGCTTCGGTCGTGGTAGTTGGACACGGCGTTGTGGAAGAAGAGGCCGGCGATGAGCGCGGCGATGTTGGCCGTATACGACGCCACGAAGAGCACGGAGAAGCCGCCCCACACGTTGATGAGAAACTTGTTGGGCCACGATTTGGGGGCCTTGAACGCCACCAGGTGGCCGCACAGCAAGCCCCACATCACCTGAGGACACAATGAATTGGGCATATGAGGAGAGGTCCATGGGAAGTCCCGGCTTTGGGACTTTGGACTACCACTGGAGGCATTGGACCCACGACGTCGGCATAGTTACCCAGAGTGCGGACGCGATACTGAAGTTTTTCGAACGCTGCCGCCCCCAAGGGTTGAGGCCGAAGGGACTGAGCCACTCGTACACGGCCACGGCGATGGCGGTCAGGTTGAGCGAGAGGAAGATGGCGATCCACAGCTCGGGAGAGAAAGGCAGCAGGAACGCGTGCAACGGAATCTCGCTCTTCTGCTGGGGCGCAGCCAGGAACGACACGCCCGAGTAAAAGAAGGGCACCGAGAAGTCCATGACCTACAAGTAGAAGACATTCGCCAGAGTTGAAGAACGGTGCAAGAGGGACGGGGAAACCTCTCGCCCACGGGGCATACCTCGGACCGCGCGCTGGACACGCTGAGCGCGGCGAAGGACATGTGCGCCGCCCCGGAGGCGAGGTCCCCGACGATGCCGTTCCACTTCCGGTGTGCCCTGGGGGCTGCACCAGCCCCGGCCGGCGCCCCCGGCCCGTGCGTCTGACGGTCGACGCGGGACTTTTGCTGCGCCTTCTGATCCTGCTGTGTGTATTTCTGCCGCTGGTGGTTCTGCGCCCGCTGGTCCAGTTCGGAGTCGGGGAGGTACGCCGGCTGCTCGCCGCTCTGCAAGGTACAGGAAGAAGTGTTAGCGTAAACATTTTCA